TGGAGAGGGGATCGCGAGGAGGTAGGCGATTTCGTCCTATCAAACCAGAAAAATTAACTAGCAGAAAATGGAGGATCAACCATTCACGTTGATCACTCGTGCCCTGGGATACGTTACACACTTTCTTTTCCATTTCATGTGTAATGGGTTTTGAATGTGACCTATGCTGTACAAAAACTTGCGAGCTAAGCCTATGTGAAGGTGAAAGGTTTATCTCTCGGTGTGGTATAAAAAAGAAGGTGGCAGCCCTATAGCCCATAGTATAGTTCAGTTGGTAGACGGAAGTCGTTCGTAGATTGACTCCCTTATCGTGTGTGTTTTAATTAGCTCCACTTGCTACTATGTATATATGCCACCTACATCTCAAAAGAACATGAATGAAAGGAGGTAGAATTTCCCTACAGGTTTGCCGGAAGTTATTAGTGTTATAGTAGTAGAGCTGTAAATTGGGAAGGGTTATTACATGAGTTCCCTCACCTGATTCTCACTTGAAATTCGATACGACTGCGTTTATTCACCAGTGATGCCGGCGCATCCATCAAATCCCAAATGGAGGATGGCGCATACTCGGACAGATCCACCCATTCGGCTTGTTCGAACTCGAGTTTGATCTCGCTTTCGTTGTACTAAACGGTAGAATACCATCAGCTGCTGTTAATACCTTAATGTGGCACCAAATGCTTACCGTCCACGATCCGAAAACTAGCGTGCATACTTGCTCGTCGAAAGGGAAAAATTCCACGTCTGGAATAAAGAACCTAACGTTACGATATTCTTGCCGATCATTCAGATTGGCCTACAGGTTATATAGAGAGCTATAAAAGCTCTTAATAAGTGAAATGATGACGACTACCGAAAAACGATTTGGCATAAGTAATTGAACAAATACTGTAGAACTTACCGATGATGCACGAACTTTTGTAGATGGCCGGCGGTACCCATAACATATCGCCGTGATAATTTATAACGACGTTACACATGAACGACACCTCATAATTACCATCGGCGCTTAAATAAATGATAAAATTGAGTCGTAATATCTGAAAAGATAACTGCACGAGTACTTTTAGTATAATTGGAGAACTGTTTTTTTTTGATTTCTATGAGGGCGGAATTGTGTTGTGACACAGTGGCGCGAGCATAAACCACACGCAGAGTCCGCGGATCAATCCTGGGTATCATAAAAGTCGCCGGCCCCCAAGCCTTCCATCCCTCCGGGGTCGGTTAATTGGTACCAGACTTGTCTGGGAGGATAAAAACACTGACTTGAACATCGGCTGGCCCCCGCAAGTCATTGTATAGGCCACATCGCATTCAAATGCCACTGCGAATGTACAAATGGAAGTAGAATGCGTGCCGCATCCCAAAAAGGGATTGATCAACGGCAAATGCTTTATCCTTATTTTTTATCCTTCTATTGAGTGGCGGCATAAAAACTCGACACGGCGCTTAAAGAAATATTTCAGTGCAAGAAAATAGGTTCCCTTCGGTTCATGCATCGAAGAGTAATCTTCCAGATTAAATCCCAAATGTGGTTTAAGCCTGCATGGACAATCGCCCGGGCCAGGTGCGCCTCTCCGCTTCATTTTCTCGTCCGTGTCCAGGCCGTCATTTCGCGCCCAGGCCGTAATTTGGCCCTCTGTCATCTGTTGCTCTCTCGTCTCACCCTCTCCTCTCCGAGCTTAGTCTTTCATTACATCCGCTTTGCGGAGGTGAGCAAGGCTTTAACCTAAGCATTTTTGGCAGATTCTTTTTCTTTCTTCTTTATTGCCGGCTCTTTTCGCGCGAATACTTTCACATTCGGGCCCAGAAACCACAACACCTCGATCTTGAGGTATGCCTTTAAGGTTTTTGGATGTAGGGAGTAGGGGAGGAATTCTTCCCGAACATCTACCTACGAACCGTTGTCACTCAATATAGCGCATACTACATCTTGAGGAAGATGATGTGGCGGCACTTGATACTGACCCGGTCCAAGGATCGAATAGTGATTTGATTCTCCTCAAACTGATCAGTCTAGGTGAAATCCGGACTGGTATTTGATCATCTAATCCTCTGGGCCAGGCATATGGCACCAGAGTTGTCTGGGAGGATAAAAGTTGAGTTGCAGCATGGGTTGCACATAAATCGCTTAGCCCCGTATAGGTCAGATCCCAAAATCCAATGAAAATGTCGCTACGATCCTGAATGGAAGTAAACGCATGGCGCACTCCAAAAGGATGGATCCGTGGTCGAATATTCAACCTATCTCCCATTCTTTGATCACAAGCTATAATCATATGACTCACTTGTTAAACAAGACAATATCAGGTAACCAGACTTTATCAGGTGCCACCCGCATCTCTTTTATCTCGCCATAATTCACTGGATTCCATCGCATTTGGAAGTCGTGCCACTTCTGAATGACCTAATCAATAAATCGATAATTGACTGAGTACAGTCCTGAACTCACCAATGTTAACCAGACATTCGTGTGCATCACTTGATCCTTTTCATCCTGGAATTTTCACTGTTAAAACCATTTCCTCATTAAGCTCTATATTCCAGGTCTTTTTTTTGCAGAAGACGCTTTGTCCTTGTATAATTAGAATTTCTCAATCCAATTCCCACGGCTCAACCTAATCCTTGAGATATGGGAGCTACATCAATGAAAAACAAGTACTACTAGTAATGGTTACCAAAAAGTCAAAGAGCATAGTTATCCGGAAGAAAAGTCGATATGCACTCACTACATTAATGAGTAGAACAAGTTGTAAAGCGACTTTTACAATGATCG